GTCAGGCCTGGGGATAATCTTATTTTCGCCCCTCCCGAATGCTGAGTGAATGTTGAGTTTTACTGTCTAATTTACTTTGTGCACATTTCTTTTTGGTATTGTCCTACACTCCCCTTCCTTTTTGATTGTAAGCCGCCCTGAGTCCCCTCAGGGAAAAGGGCGGCCTATAAATAAATAAATCTACAAATCTACAAATCTACAAGAGACCATGTTGAAGGACAGCAGAAGTCAGTTCCATTATTAATCCAGCTTCGGTTTCTGGACATGTCTTGACAGGAAGGACCACAACCACAACTGAACAGGGTCTCCAGGGGGATCTATTTCTGTAACTTTTCACTAACAAGCTTTTCCTTTGTCTCTCCTCTACATATGGAGGCCAGAAAAAGTTTCAGATCCCAAGAGGAGAAGTTGCTTCTCACTGTAATTATGACTATCTGAGACACATGATGCTATTTCTCCTGTTTTTGACTTTGATGTAGACATCAGATTGAAGCCACATGCAAAGGACCTTGTATGAGAAAAAGATAAATTCCTTGGGCCAAGCTCTCTGGGAACAAGTTTTGGGACAGGCAGGATCTGTGCTCTTGATTGTACCTTTCTCTCCTTTCTAGATGAAACTGAGTGGTTCTCTGTTATATCAGGAGAGCCACGGGCACTTCTGAGAGACTTTGAATTCCTCCAACTGTTCCAGTCATTTGTGTTAGAAACAGGAAGCATATTGATTCACCCCATGAATGATGGACCTCCTGCTTCTGATGCTGATGCTGCTGGTGTCCCATCCAGTCTCTGGGAAACTGAGAATGAAATGTCCACTGAGTTTGGGGCATCAGGATAGAAAAAGACTGTGGAGCTTTTACAGCCCAGGAGACCATCTCATTGGTATAGTCACAACTGCAAAAGAAATTTTGCATATAAAATTGCATTTTAACATGGCTCCTCCTGTTCAATCTGATTTGTAAGTCATTCAGGATGATGGAATTGCATTCCTCCCATTTTCTATTTCTAACACTCCTTTTCTTCTTATTTCACTTAATTTTATACCGTAGGACCTGTCTAATTTCCTGAATGATTTTGATTTCCATGGCTTCCCTCTTTTGTCTTATTTTGTGGAGAGATTGAAATTCAAAAACAGGGTTGATAAAAAAAAAGAAGGAAATTCAGATTACTTTCCTTTCTCAGATTAATCCTGAGTTCATCACTTGAATACTGAACTTCGTTTAAGTAGTGATAGAAATAATTTTACTTGCCTCTCCTCGGCCCATTTCCATATTTGTGTAATTGATCATTGGTTTTCGATCAAGTTGGCCTAAGGCTCAGTAGACTTCTGGAGGATTATATATTTTGAAAGTATTTGTTGTTGCTGTTGACTATAATAACATAAACATTGTTTTACAATAGGAATCGTTATTCTATTCAGAATATCCTACAATTCCTTTTTCCCATTCAACTGCAAAACAAGAATTCCCAGTTCCTGCACAATCTCACACTGGGCTACAACATCCATGACAACTCTATGAGCACTTTCAGTACTTCCGATGCCTTGCTGGACATTCTCTCCACTGGAGAAGCCAATGTCCCCAACTATGGCTGTGGTAGGAAGGAGAACCTTATGGCTCTTCTTGACGGGGCTAGAAGAGACATTTCCATCCAGATGTCAACATTAGCAGATATCTACAAAGTCCCACAGGTTTGTGTATGTTATTCTCTATCTGGTAAAGTGTGTGGGGTGGTGAGGATGAGCCATAGATCCAATATCTTCTTCATAGAATTCAACAGCTGTTTTTCAGAATATTAGTGAACATGTCAACTATTTTTAGTCCATTATGCTCATGTTCAAATTCACCATTAAAGGTATGAAGAGCCAAAAGGTCCCTATAGAGGATATTCTAACAAATATTCAACTTTTGAAAAAAAATATCCAGGGTTTCAGGTCCTCCATTAGCATATTCATTTTCACATATCAATAACATTTGCCTTATCCAATTGGATTCTGGTTGGCAATAATACTGTTTATGTATATAAAAAAAATTAAATAAAAAGATCTCTAGCAATTACAGCTGTGGCTAAAATATATGCCATATTCCTCAGTAAATATAGGGTAGAACAAAAATGCTTTACATGCAGAGGAAAAAGAAGGTTTTAAGTAGAGTTAAAAGGTATATAATTTTTATAATAAATAATGCATACATTAAGATTTGGCTTGAAATATCACAAAATGTGTAAATTGGGTGAACCATGGTTTGTTGGCTTTATAGATGATAGTGCAGCTTTTGGCACAGTAAATGGAGAAATATGATGGAGGAAATTGATTGCCCTCAAAATGGAGCTCAGCCTGTTGGCCCTGATCCAAGCCCTTTCTCCAAGCCCTTGTGTGAGAGGGAGATTTTTGGGGTCAACAGAGCCCTGAGAAGAAGGATTGATACATACCAAGGGTGAAAGCAAAGGGACATATTTGAGCTTTTGTTATTCGGTCTAGAGATTAATGACTTAACTGCACTAATGAAGGAACCTGAAGTACATTTGTCTATGGTAATAAATACATATCGAAACACCCTGATTAATGCTGAGAATATTATATTATTATCATATTCATAATTTGGATTATGTAGGCTGTTAAGAAAATGTGGTGCTTACTGTCATGGTAATTGTCTGATTATTAATAAATCAAATTGAAAATGTGTGGTCTTTGGAAAACAACATCATAGCCACAGATGCCTATTTGATGGTAATCCAGTACAGCCAGTAACACCTTTCCTTACCTTGGTTATTTTTCCCTGAGACTGAATCTTGGATCCTTGATCATCAAAGGATCTCATTTATAGCATAGACGAGAGTGAATCTAGTGCTAATTTTTTTTTAAAAAAATAATGCTTTCCAATTTCCTTGTCCCCAATTATTAAAGAATAAGCATGTTTGGCATTTAATAAATGCCACTGTCAAAAAAAAAAACCAATCACAGCATCTGAGGAGAATCTTTGGGGTTGGTAAAAGTACTTTAGCTGCTGCTCTCAGAGATTAATTGTGAATTTACACAATTTCTTCGTATAAATTGGAGGTATAAAATCATTTATTTAAAATTAAACCTATTAAGACTCCCAAAATTATATCTGATAAAACAGAGAAATTTCCAGTTAAAGTTACTTCTTGGATTATACAACTGACAATTTCTATTAGGAATTATGGTCTCCTTGTCTCTTGTACAAGTGGAGAAGAAGCTAAAAACATTGTTCCATCTGGGATACAGGAGCAGAGAAAGATGGTGCAATCTTCAAAAATAACATACAATATTTCCCGTTATTGGATTGAAGGAGCATAGTGATCAAATAAATATTTATTGTTTGCTTCTGATATGATATACTGCTAGAAAACATTTATTAGGAATTAAGCTTTATTATTGGCTTCTGCTTATATTATTATATACCGTCATAAATTAGTTTTTAGGAACTAATTCTAGCTTAGTTAATGGTAACCTTAATACTGGTTGGCATTAGTACAATGTTTGTTATCTTGCTTCTGTGTCTCGCTTCTATTCTTGGCCTCAAAACTAGGCACATCCTTGAAACTATAGAAGAAACTGTTACCCAGGAATATCAGGCCGCATAGATAAAGGAACCAGAGTAGGGAGTTTTCCTGCCTCATAAATTCTGAATCATGAAAGCCTTCTGCTGGAATGCTCCATAGATAAGGTGGACAGAGACAGGGGCCTGAGCAAAGAACGCTTTAAAGACCATGTTGGTAATGAACCTTTGTCTCTGGTTGGGTAAACTTTGTTTCTATCGGTGTAAAGGGTGTATAATATTCTGAGCCACTCTGGCTGGGGTGTGGCTATTCCTTACATGCATTTCGTCTGTATGTTTTGGATATAGTATTCACCCATACTTTTTGCTTTGGCCATAAATAAAAAGCTGTTATTTTTTGCAAGCCTCATCATCTCGAGTCTCACTCTCTTTGGCATCTCTGTGGCTCGAGGAAACTTCTGAGGCCTTACAGGGTCAAAAGACTTTATTTGACATTTGCAAATTTGAATCTAATTGCACTAAATTGTAGGAATGATACAGAAATTTGCATTTCATTTTTATTGTTTTTTACTTAATTTCTTTTTGCTTTCCATTTTTATAGTCAGTATTGTTAATATTTTGTCTTCAATATTTTAAATGATGACTAAGGAACAAACTATTCTAATATGTTCATCATAACAAAGTTGGATTTGTCAATAACTAACACTTTGGAGTTGATCTCTCTCCCCACTGCCGCCCCCGCCCCTAAAATAACACAGGATTCTCCTGTTCTTTTCAGATCAGTGTTGTAGCTGCTTCAGAGGCCCTGAGTGATAAAAGTCGATTCCCCTTTTTCCACCAGATGGAGCCCAANGGGGCTAGAAGAGACATTTCCATCCAGATGTCAACATTAGCAGATATCTACAAAGTCCCACAGGTTTGTGTATGTTATTCTCTATCTGGTAAAGTGTGTGGGGTGGTGAGGATGAGCCATAGATCCAATATCTTCTTCATAGAATTCAACAGCTGTTTTTCAGAATATTAGTGAACATGTCAACTATTTTTAGTCCATTATGCTCATGTTCAAATTCACCATTAAAGGTATGAAGAGCCAAAAGGTCCCTATAGAGGATATTCTAACAAATATTCAACTTTTGAAAAAAAATATCCAGGGTTTCAGGTCCTCCATTAGCATATTCATTTTCACATATCAATAACATTTGCCTTATCCAATTGGATTCTGGTTGGCAATAATACTGTTTATGTATATAAAAAAAATTAAATAAAAAGATCTCTAGCAATTACAGCTGTGGCTAAAATATATGCCATATTCCTCAGTAAATATAGGGTAGAACAAAAATGCTTTACATGCAGAGGAAAAAGAAGGTTTTAAGTAGAGTTAAAAGGTATATAATTTTTATAATAAATAATGCATACATTAAGATTTGGCTTGAAATATCACAAAATGTGTAAATTGGGTGAACCATGGTTTGTTGGCTTTATAGATGATAGTGCAGCTTTTGGCACAGTAAATGGAGAAATATGATGGAGGAAATTGATTGCCCTCAAAATGGAGCTCAGCCTGTTGGCCCTGATCCAAGCCCTTTCTCCAAGCCCTTGTGTGAGAGGGAGATTTTTGGGGTCAACAGAGCCCTGAGAAGAAGGATTGATACATACCAAGGGTGAAAGCAAAGGGACATATTTGAGCTTTTGTTATTCGGTCTAGAGATTAATGACTTAACTGCACTAATGAAGGAACCTGAAGTACATTTGTCTATGGTAATAAATACATATCGAAACACCCTGATTAATGCTGAGAATATTATATTATTATCATATTCATAATTTGGATTATGTAGGCTGTTAAGAAAATGTGGTGCTTACTGTCATGGTAATTGTCTGATTATTAATAAATCAAATTGAAAATGTGTGGTCTTTGGAAAACAACATCATAGCCACAGATGCCTATTTGATGGTAATCCAGTACAGCCAGTAACACCTTTCCTTACCTTGGTTATTTTTCCCTGAGACTGAATCTTGGATCCTTGATCATCAAAGGATCTCATTTATAGCATAGACGAGAGTGAATCTAGTGCTAATTTTTTTTTTAAAAAATAATGCTTTCCAATTTCCTTGTCCCCAATTATTAAAGAATAAGCATGTTTGGCATTTAATAAATGCCACTGTCAAAAAAAAAACCAATCACAGCATCTGAGGAGAATCTTTGGGGTTGGTAAAAGTACTTTAGCTGCTGCTCTCAGAGATTAATTGTGAATTTACACAATTTCTTCGTATAAATTGGAGGTATAAAATCATTTATTTAAAATTAAACCTATTAAGACTCCCAAAATTATATCTGATAAAACAGAGAAATTTCCAGTTAAAGTTACTTCTTGGATTATACAACTGACAATTTCTATTAGGAATTATGGTCTCCTTGTCTCTTGTACAAGTGGAGAAGAAGCTAAAAACATTGTTCCATCTGGGATACAGGAGCAGAGAAAGATGGTGCAATCTTCAAAAATAACATACAATATTTCCCGTTATTGGATTGAAGGAGCATAGTGATCAAATAAATATTTATTGTTTGCTTCTGATATGATATACTGCTAGAAAACATTTATTAGGAATTAAGCTTTATTATTGGCTTCTGCTTATATTATTATATACCGTCATAAATTAGTTTTTAGGAACTAATTCTAGCTTAGTTAATGGTAACCTTAATACTGGTTGGCATTAGTACAATGTTTGTTATCTTGCTTCTGTGTCTCGCTTCTATTCTTGGCCTCAAAACTAGGCACATCCTTGAAACTATAGAAGAAACTGTTACCCAGGAATATCAGGCCGCATAGATAAAGGAACCAGAGTAGGGAGTTTTCCTGCCTCATAAATTCTGAATCATGAAAGCCTTCTGCTGGAATGCTCCATAGATAAGGTGGACAGAGACAGGGGCCTGAGCAAAGAACGCTTTAAAGACCATGTTGGTAATGAACCTTTGTCTCTGGTTGGGTAAACTTTGTTTCTATCGGTGTAAAGGGTGTATAATATTCTGAGCCACTCTGGCTGGGGTGTGGCTATTCCTTACATGCATTTCGTCTGTATGTTTTGGATATAGTATTCACCCATACTTT